AGCGTCGGCTTGCTATAAAATCATATTCAAGAGACGTTGATCTGGAATGGCACTGTACGCCCTTGTACATATCAAATGCGGCACTGAGAGCACAAGACTATGAGGCTTGTAATGCGTACCTTTTTGCTTACAACCACATGCATAGAGGCCTCGTTAATGACCTCCTAATCGGAAGCTAAAATCTAAACTATCATGTTGATTCAAGTGACGGCCCCAAGCAGATTAATTCGCATCTCAGATGTCTTTGCCCAGACAAACCTAAGACTTCCATGAGCTAGACTTCAAAAATTGTTACCGGTTAGCCTAGGATTCGTAAATTTGTCGGCTCATATTTTACAACAAGACGGCTCATGTTGCGTCAACTTCGGATATGTTTACCCACCCATTCCCTCCAGCAGCACAACACTAATGCAGTTACCCACCTTGTTTCGGGTTGAGTGGAGTCAACTGACGAACAAATGCAACTCAGTAATCACCTTCCAAGTGAAGGCAACTCTACTAGCAACAAATAAGTAGATGCGCACTGCCGTTTTCAAATATTATCTTCTTCCTCAAACATCTCATTTATCTTGGTGTCGCAGCCATTGATCTGCTATTCTCTTGTCAGAAGGGGCCGCGAGACATGTGTTCAAGGCTTGAGAGTCGCCTACCTCACAAATATCGGTTGTCACCTTCTTCAAACTCCACCCCACAACCTTCCTCCGCCCCCTTCCGTAACCGCTGTTTCATTTCAGCAGCAGCGGCAGCAACATTTTTATCACATTATTCGCACTCCTTACACATGCAATGTCACGACCCTCACCAACGTCACCCTTCTAAATGCTTTAACAATCATTGAAACCAATCGACTAAGTCAATTCCTCACACTCTATTTGCAATCGCGTTTATGACGATGCCTTCGAACAAATCGATTCGCGTTTTGCTTCCTCTTTTGTTTGTCTATTTAAGTTTGCTTTGGCTCCCTTCGCATCCCCAAATTCAATTTCGCATCTTCTGCTTTCTCTGCACCATGGCTACTCCATGCGACCAATGTTTTGAAGGAACCGCGGCACTGACTGCCGACAAGAGCTATGGGATGGGCGCGATTGTCAGTCAGTGGGTTGCGAGGAGACTGTGGTAGTAGCATCAACAGTTGGAAGTGTAGGTGAGGGTGGCAGAAGTGGAGGAGATGATAACGCTGCACCGAGGTATTGCGGTGGAGAGGAGATGAGGAGGAGTCTGTGGATGTGGATGACTTCATAAATCTTACAAGCCGAACAACCCCTCCTATATAATTAACGCTCATAGCCACATTCGAAATCTCAGACAATTAACGCCCATGATTGCACATCGCATGCGATTTAATGTCTGGTGCATATACAAAGGTGCATTTCCTAACCAAAAGAGCAAAGACCCAGCGCCGATGGACTGCGAAGAAAATCAATTATCTAAATTTAAAGTAACATTTATGCAAAACTTTCCTACATATGTAAGTCACAAAAGGTTAAAGCCATCGTTCTGCAACAACGACCACTTCACAATCTAAACCAGAGGGACTTAACCTTGGTGGATTACCGAATGGCTCCCGCCAATATAAGTAAAACTGCTGGCAAACATCCACTTTTACATTACCTAGAGCAAAAGCGAAGACTCAAAGCCGGAATTTTACTAGAATCATCTCTACGGCCATGGA